AACCAGCAGATGGAAGACCTCTCTCTCTGTCTCTGCCTCTCTCTGTAACTCTGTCTTTCAAATAAATAAAATGAATCTTTCAAAAAATATTTAAATAAAAATTTTAGAAAAAGAGATTGGGGCCAGTGTTGTGGTGCAGTAAGTTAATCCTTTGCCTGCGGCACCAGCATCCCATATGGGCGCCGGTTCTGGTCCTGGCTGCCTCTCTTCCAATCCAGCTCTCTGCTGTGGCCTGGGAAAGCAGTAGAAGATGGCCCAAGTGCACCCAAATGGGACACCTGGAAGAAGCCTCCTGGCTCCTGGCTTCGGATTGGCGCAGCTCCAGCTGTTGTGGCCATTTGGAGAGTGAACCAACAGGAGGACCTTTCTCTCTGTCTCTCTTTCTCACTGTCTGTAACTCTACCTCTCAAATAAATAAATAAAATCTTAAAAAAAAAAGAAAAAGATTAACTCATCAGATAATTACAGCATACTATACTAATTATTCTGACAAGGTATTAAGAAACCTTAGAGTAGTGGTACCAACCAAAATTAGGGTATTAAGGAAGACTTCCTGGAAGAGAGGGACTTCTGAATGAATCTTTTTTTTTTTTTTTTTTTTTTTTTTTTTACAGGCAGAGTTAGACAGACAGAGACAGAGAGAAAGGTCTTCCTTCTGTTGGTTCACCCCCAAATGGCCGCTACGGCAGGCACACTGTGGCTGGCACGCTGCGCCAATCCGAAGCCAGGAGCCAGGTGCTTCCTCCTGGTCTCCCATGGGGTGCAGGGCCCAAGCACTTGGGCCATCCTCCACTGCCTTCCCGGGCCACAGCAGAGAGCTGGACTGGAAGAGGAGCAACCGGGACTAGAACCCAGTGTGCCGGCACCACAGGCGGAGGACTAGCCAAGTGAGCCGCAGCGCCCGTCCCCTGAATGAATCTTAAGGCTCATTGAAAATAAGCCAGATAGCCGGCGCTGCGGCTCACTAGGCTAATCCTCCGCCTTGCGGAGCCGGCACACTGGGTTCTAGTCCCGGTCGGGGCGAAAAAAAAAAAAAAGAAAAGAAAATAAGCCAGATAAAGAGGGGAGAAAAACAGGATGTTCGCTGGGGTGTGTGTTTAAAAGAAACAAGACAAAATATTCAAATACTTTAGGAGCTACAAGTAGCTGAGATGAGGCTGACCGTGAGAGTGGAGGAAAGTGAAGCAGAAGGTAGGTGGGCGGGTGGCAGGTTGTGAAGGGACTTGTCTGAAAAGATAGCAGTTTGGATATGTGATTGAAGGAATTAAGCAGAGGAGTGAAATGGCCAAATGTGTGTTCTCGGAAAAAATGTCCCTAAAAGAAAACCCATGGACATTAAATAAAGGCCATTCTAGCTACAGGGTGGAAGGACAGGGGTGGAGCAATTCCAGAGTCTTGAGTAGTTAGGAAGTACACAAGAAGTGTGTGCGCACACTCACACACCGCTCTTGTGGATGTTTTACTAACTGGGGTGGTTTCTACTAGTTTGTTTAAACAGGGCTTTCTCCTTTTTGTATTCTGACTAGTTGCTGCTGACTTAAGAAAACTGTTGACTTTATCTGTCTTACATTCTTCCTTTTTTTTTTTAAGTTTTAAATGTTTACTTGATTTCCTTGGCTTTTGTAGATATTTATTTTTAAGTACTTTTATATATCGATACTTTTGACCTTTCCTCTCTTTTTCCCATTATATTGTGAAAATCTCAAACATATGCAAACATAAAGTGAATAGTGCCACAAACTCCTGTCATCTAGATGTTTATCATCTAGATTCAGTGACTACTAAGTTTTAGCCCCATTTGATTGTTTCCTTTTTTGTTTTTGTGTTGTTACTGAATTATTTTAAAGCAGAATCTTTTGCGTTCCAACTGCTCCACTTCTGATCCAGCTCTCTGCTGTGGCCTGGGATAGCTGCAGAAGATGGCCCGGGTCCTTGGGCCCCTGCACCGGCATGGGAGACCTGCAAGAGGCTCCTGGCTCCTGGCTTCGAATCCACACAGCTCTGGCTGTTGCAGCCATTTGGGGGATGAACCAGTGGACGGAGGACCTCCCCCCCCCCCCCCCCCGCCTCTCCTTCTCTCTGTAACTCTGACTTTCAAGTAAATAGATAAATCTTTAAAAAAAAAAAAAAAAACCAGAATCTTAGACCTTTTGTCTTTCCAGCTCCACATGCTTCAGTAACTCTAAAAAATATGGATACCTGCTTTTGGAACCGCAATGCCATTATGCTTAACAAAATTACAATAATTGCTTAGTATAATTTTTTAAAATAATTATTTTCTTCATTTGAAAGGCAGAGTTACAGAGCGGGGTAGAGCCAGAGAGAGAGAGAGAGGTTTTCCATTCTGCTGGTTCACACCCTAAATGACCACAATGGCCAGAACTGAGCCGATTCGAAGCCAGGAGCCAGGAGCCTTTTCAGGGTCTCCCATGAGGGTACAGGGGCCCAAGCACTTGGGCCATCTTCCACTGCTTTCCCAGGCCACAGCAGAGAGCCAGATCAGAAGAGGAGCAGCTGGAACATGAACCGGCACTCATATGGGATGCAGCGCTGCAGGCAGGGACTTTAACTTGCTATACCATAGTGCTGGCCCTCTTTGTATAATTTAATATCTAGTAGATAGTCACATTCCTGTTTATTTCAAAATGTCTTTTAGCAGTTGATTTGTTCCAGCTGGGATTTGAATCACATGTCTTACTTGGTACTTTGGATTCAAAGGACACTTTTTAAAAAAATATTTTATTTATTTTGAGAGGTAGAGTTACAGACAGAAAGGAAGAGACAGAGAGGTCTTCCATCTGCTGGTTCACTTGCCAAATGGCTACAGTGGCTGGAGCTGAGCCCATCCGAAGCCAGGAGCTAGGAAGTTTCCTCTGGATCTCCCATGTGTGTGCAGAGGCCCAACTACTTGGGTCATCCAACACTGCTTTCCCAGGCCATAGCAGAGAGTTGGATCGGAAGAGGAGCAGCCAGAACTTGAAAACTGACACATGTATGGGATGCTGGTGCTACAGGTGGAGACTAGCCCACTACACCACAGCGCCAGCCCCTCTAAGGACACTTTTAATCTATAACAGTTCTTAGCCCTAATCCCTTAAAAAAAAGCCCCTGACTATTGAAGAGACCATGTCTGTAGTCCTGTGGAATATCCCACATTCTGAATTTGTTTATTTGTTCTATAATCTGTTTCTCTCTTACTTCCTATAAGCTGGAAGTGAGCTCCGAATGACTAATGGATTGTGATTCATCCCTTGTTTGGGAAGAGGGTGTAAGACTGCTTCATAGGTAGGGCTATGAAGTACTTCCACTGCCCGAAGGTCCCACTTTTCGGGAAGTTGGCATTGAGTAGTGGACTCAAGTGATGAAGCTTATCCTGACCCCCATTTTACATTTCCCCATCAGCCTTTCATTGAACGTAATAATTTCATCGACTGATGATTGTCTACTGAATGAATTATTTCTTCAGGAGGTGCAAAAATCGTTTCTAATTTGTCAATCTTTCCCTACTTATTAGCTAAATAAAGAACATTCTCTCAATGAGAACTGTCTGTTTCTTTTTGAAATACACTCAAAAAAGCAAGAAAAATGCATAATTAATTTTCTTTTATTGTAACTTTTAGATTAAGGAATTGATGCCTTTGTTTTTGTTCTTTTAAGGAATCTATTGATATGGGGTAGGCATTGTGGCAGAGTGGGTGAAGATGCTGCTGTATCCCTTATCAGAGTGCCTGGTTCAAGTCCTGCCTCCTCTTCTGATCCAGTTTCCTGCTTATGTACATCCTGGGAGGCAGCTCGAGTGTTGAGCCCCGCCACATGGGGTTCCTGGCTCCTGGATTTTGCCTGCCCAATTCCAGCTGTTGTGAACACTTCAGAGTAAACTAGTAGATGGAATATTGATTTCTCTTTCTCTCTGTGTCTCACTCCTTGATATAAATGCAAATAATAAACAGTTAAAAAGAGAATCAGTTGGTCATGCTTCTGTTTTATGACTTACCACATCCGCTGGTCTGGTGGCTCTTCCCAGTGGTTATCTTGTTGTTTCAGCCTTTGTGAAATTAGTCTCATTTGCACAAGAACCTTGGATATGTGAGTGAGTTTATTCTTTTTTTTTTTAATTATATTTTATGTATAGATATTCCATACCAGTCTTCTTTTTCTTTAAGATTTATTTTATTTATTTGAAAGACAAAGTTAAAGAGATAGAGGTCTTCATCCACTGGTTCATTCCCCAAACCACTGCAGTGATCGGAGCTGAGCTGATCCCCAAATGGCCCTGGTGGCTGGAGCTGAGGCAATCCAGAGCCAAGAGCCAGAAGCTTTTTCCAGGTCTTCTACATGGGTGCAGGGGCCCCAGCACTTGGGCCACCTTCCACTGCTCTCCCAGGCCATTAGCAGAGAGCTGGATCAGAAGAGGAGCAAAAAAAGGCCGGCGCCGTGGCTCAATAGGCTAATCCTCCACCTTGCGGCGCCGGCACACCGGGTTCTAGTCCCGGTCGGGGCGCCGGATTCTGTCCCGGTTGCCCCTCTTCCAGGCCAGCTCTCTGCTATGGCCAGGGAGTGCAGTGGAGGATGGCCCAGGTGCTTGGGCCCTGCACCCCATGGGAGACCAGGAAAAAGCACCTGGATCCTGGCTCCTGCCATCGGATCAGCACGGTGCGCCGGCTGCAGCGGCGGCCATTGGAGGGTGAACCAACGGCAAAGGAAGACCTTTCTCTCTCTGTCTCTCTCTCTCACTGTCCACTCTGCCTGTCAAAAATAAAAAAAAAAATAATAAAAAAAAATTAAATTCAAAATAAACATATATAAAGAGAGAGCAGCCCAGCACTCAAACCCGCACCTGTATTGAATGCCAACGCTGCAGGCTGGGGCTTTAAACCACTGCACCACAGCTCTGGACCCATGCATGAGTTTCTTAGAGCCACACATCAGTCTGTCTAGTCCTGTGCTTTTCAGATTACTACAGAAGAACCTTACCTCTAGTTTCTCTTTCCCTGTTCCAGGTCATACTGTGAACAAGATGCGCAAACACTCAGATTCAGAGGTGGCTTGTCTTGCCGGAGAAGTATATACTGAGTGGAAAACTTTCATTGAAAAACATTTGGATAGACCTGCTATTGAAGTTCGAAGTGATCCCAAAACTGAGTCCTTTAGGAAAAATGCCAAAAAATTACTGTCAGAAGCCTTGGAATTAAAGGTAATGTCCTGGTTAGAATATGATTGCTAGGTATTCTAGGATAAATGAGCCTTATGTTTTCATGATACTTTTATTTTGAGAAGCAAAGTGATAGAGATCTTCCATTTGGTTAATTTCCCAAATGGTTACAACATCCAGGTCTGGGCCAAACTGAAGCCAGGAGCCATGAACTTCATCCTGGTCTCCTACATGAGAATCAGGGACCCAAGCACTTGGGCCATCTTCCCCTGTTTCCCAGGTGCACTAGCAGGGAGCTGGATCAGAAGCAAAGTGGCCAGAACTTGAACCTGTGCTCTGATGTGAGATGCTGATGTCACAAGCAGTGGCTTAACCCATTGCTCCACAACTCCAGTCCCTAGCTTTTGTAATCTTAATGCTGTGGATTTATTCAAACAGGATATTCTTTAAGCATTCTGAGAGACAGTGTCGTAGGAGTGCATATTTTAGAACTAGCAACACCTGAGTTGAAGCCCTTTTACTAGTACCTTTTAGTTTTGATGCCTTAAATCGATTTCTGGGACTTGATTTGTTTCTTTTTAAAATATTTATATATTTCAAAGGCAGAGTTACAGAGAAAGAGGGAGAGACAGAGATCTTACATCTGCAGGTTCACTCCCAGGTGGAAATAAGGTTTGGGGCTGAACCAGGCCAAAGCTGAGAGCTTAGAACTCCATTTGGGTCTCCCACATGGGTGACAGGGTCCCAAGGACTTGGGCCATCTTCTGCTGCTTTCCCAGACACATTACAGGGAGCTGGATCAAATGTACAGCAGCCAGGACTTGAACCAGTACTCATATAGAATGCCGACATCACAGGCAGTGCCACGACACCAGCCCTGAGACTTGGTTTCCTTGTTTGGAAAATGAGAATATAATTCCTACCATGTGAGGTCATAGGAAGAATTAGCCGTTTATACAAAGAAATGATGTGTGTGCCTGCTGGTTAGAGGATATTTCATGAATGTTGCTATCTTCCCATCAGAATTTCTTTCCTTTCCCGCTCAAGTAAAAATTCTAGGGTAGACTATGTTTTGGAATATCAGTGGCAAGGTAAAAGTGTAAGATTCCACTCCCCCATTTCTTTGACGACACCCACATCTTTAGTTCTTGGACATAAAATCATTTGGATAGACATATTTCCTGTCATCTTCATAACCAGCAGTTTGGATGTTATTAATGGTTTGAGGTATTCCTGCTAGGAGAGGGATTTTTGTGTATTAACAGTAATATTCATCGTCATTGTCATCAACAACAGGTCTTGTAAGCTAATTAACATTCTGGAAAATCAGACATAAATATATTTTTTCCTGTCTCCAAGATATCCTAGGGTATTCTTATTAAAATTTTTTAAGGAGTCATTTAATATTATTAACAAAAGAAGCAATTCAAAAATATGGCTTAAATGTTAGATCTGTTACTACATTTTCTGAAAAGATATTTTAACCTATCTCAACTATTTATACACACAAAAAAAGCAAACGGACCTTTTGTATATCATTTACTTTTGTTTACAAAAGAAAGTTTTAGATTTTTAAAATTTGAGTGTATAATAGAAAATGAGAAAAATATGAAGAGGAAAAGAAAATCACCATTGATCTTACCACCAAGACATAATCTTATTAACATTTTCGTGCATTTCCTTTTTTAGTAAATTATTATAGCTTTTTCAATGAATCTGGACAAGCTACAGTTATCTGAGATTTGCGTAAAGCGAATTATATTCCAAATATTCTATAAGATGTTTTTATTGATTATTCAAATGGCATTGCAGAAAATTGACATAATTATTTATATTTGTGTTGTCTCCTTAATCTTGATCAATTTCGGTTAGTGTCATTTTGTATATCTTTTCCTAATGTCTTTATTTTTTCATGTTTATAATTTTTAATGTCTATTTGACAGTTTGGTGAATTGATATGCTGTAAGTTTGTGTAACTTTTTTAAAGGAAGCTTTAAAATGAATATTAAACCTTTCAAAGAACAGCAAAATATGAAGTCAGAATATCAATTCAGCAAGATTTGCTATTTTAAATAAAGTTTATTTTTATATGAACTAAAATTATTGTAGAAACATACAGTGTGGGTATATAATATGTAGTTAATGTGGTGGTAAATACCAGTTCCCTGTGGTATCTTTTTAAGTAAATGATAATAACGAAGCTATGCTTGCAAGGATTAATGAGCAGTTTGCCTGCTATATTAAACTCTATAATAATTATCCTTTTAGTTTATCCATTAATTATCCTTTAAATGGCACATCAAGTGGTAAGCACTCAAGTGTTACAAAGCAAAGTTAAAAAAGTGATACATTCGTTAGTGCTTTCCAATGTAATTGGAAGAAATATCAAGATTAAGCACAGCTGAATGGTTTTGTTCCCAAAGAGTAAATTTTAAAAATTAAAAATATGCATCTCACTGTCTTCCTTGGCCAAAAAAACACCACAAAACCAATCTGTTTTTCTTGCACAAATGGCATTTGATAGTATTTTTGTTAGCTTGGCATGTCAAAGAATATAAATACAAACATTTTTACATAAAGTTAGTTCTAGCACCTATCATCATCTAAAGCATTTCCATATTAGGACAAATCAGTGAACCACTTAATCCAGTATCTGGTCTTTGACAGTGTTGAGTACATTCAAGTCAGCGTCAGATCTCCATAAATGTACTTTATCGGGCAGTAGTAAACCGTGGGCTAAGTTACCAACCCAGGTACTAAAACAGCCTTTTCAATTTGATCCTAGCATTTGTTTTTGCAAACACCAGATGTACCGATTGCATTTTTGTAGAGAAAGATGTTTCCGTCTTTCTTGTTTCAGTTATAGCCTTTAATAGTAAAAGCCACAGATGAAGAATATATACACAACTAAAGGTACATCTCTTCATTACCCTACAGAGCTTGCTTTCTAGATCCATGGATTATTTCCTTGTTCTTGGAATAATGGGATAGATGAATAAAAACTCCATCACTGAAACCGGGGCTCCATTCCCTTTTACTTTCTCCCTTCCAGATCTTCTTTGTTCCTCCCTGTCTTTTAGATCTTTCCTCGTATGAACGTCCCCTGTGGTGTCATTCTCTTACTTCCCCTTCCTCATTATCCACTCTTCTTCCTACCTCCAACCTGTGATCATTTTCCTATTATGTCATTTAAAAAAATGAACCTGATTCTCAGAGTGAGCCTGTATCATTAAGAGTTAGGAAACACTGGCTGGTTGGCTCAGTTGGTTGTCAGATGGTGCTAATGAGATCCAGGTCAGGGGTATGTCCCCATGTGGGACTTCTACTTTTTTCTTTGTTTAATGGCCTCAAACTGTACCCCCTGGCTTTGACCAGCTCTCTCATAAATGTATTCAAGTGGTCAAAAAGAAGTGTGGGCAGATATGTACAAATTCACTCATGCTACTGGAAAACCCACACAAAGTTTGCTTTCAGCAGCTATTCAACTCAACAAGTGTTTTGTAGGGATCTGCTGACTACCAGGGGAGAATACAAACAAATGAGTTGCATTCTGTATTCTATTAAAGCCTACTATGTTCTGGCTGAGAGCCTGTAAGGGACTAACTAAAATTAGTTAAATCAGAGACAGTGGCATTAGCAAGTGTATAGACACTCAAAATATGAAGTGGTTAAATCTAATACAGGAATCTGGGTGGTTTCCATGCAAGAAATGGCAACTGGACTCACCTTGTAAGATGGGTAGGATTTTGCTAACAAGAAAATACACATAAAATCAAAACATATAAAATAGGAATTTTATCTGCTACATACATGATGTTATTGAAAGAGCAGGAATGGAGAGAGATGCATGTATGGAGAAAGGACATTTATGTAATAAATATTTATTGAGCACTTACTGTTTACCAGTACCTGTGGTAGACATAGGAGATTTATAAATGGATTCAATGTGGTGTGGGCCCTAGAGACACAAGCATTCCCCTGAAGAAGGTAGACAAATAGTTACAAAACAGTGTGGGAAGTTCTGCAGTTAGGATAACCACATGAAGAACTCCTTCCCCTGCTTTTAAAGAGCTTACAGATGGCAGCCATCACTGCTTGATTATGGCCATTTCCCACTAAATCCAAAATCCTTGAAGAAGCACAGCTCTAGGTGATCATGTTTTATGTTTTTCCCCCAGAGATGGCCGGTTCATCCAAGATTGGACAACACACAGGCACAGGCAGATAAGGAAGACAAATCAGATTCTCTGTGTCTGAGAAGTAGGAACCAGGAAATACCAAGAAAACAACTTGAAACGGAAGGGATGTTGAAGGAATTTTGAGGAAGCAGAGCTGTTGGTTAGAGAAGATGTGTACACTAGGGGGAGGGCAGTTAGAACTGTTAGTAATACCCACAGAGAAGAGCCAAAGCATGTGAGAAAGAGACCAGGCAGATCAGGAGAAACACAAAGAAAGGATCTGGGTCCCTCAGTAAACCCCTAGGTTCCTTGCAACATTCCTGTTCCCAATCCCATTTACATAGTTATATCTCATAGAAAAAAAATTTTTTTCTCAAAGTCTTGGTGAGCCTCTGGTCCTTTCACCAAAGGGGTTTACCTGAGGTACCAGGTTAGGACACACTGGAAGGGACTCATCTGCTGAGTAGGTTTGTATTACCCAAAGGCAGTTATAAATTAGGCATTCTTCACTTTGTAAGTGACTTAACACATGGCACATGAATCATTTTCCCTTGTGATTTGCATTTTAATGTCCCATATTTTTCTCCATTCTGACTGGTCCTCCCTTAAGAAGAGGCATGCATGAGAACTGTCATGTGCCTGCTTCCTGTTCCCACCACGCTGCTGGTCCTGCACCTGTCACGCTGCCCCATGGTTCCCTGGACTGCCTATTTGTCTTTTATGTTAGGACATTTTATCAAATGTCAAGTGACCTTTTTTGGGGGAGGCATATTTTCTTTTTAAACTTTGCTTTTTATGTAGAAGTACAATATATGTATGGAACAGTACACAAAACAGAGATGAACAGCTTAGAGAATTCGTCATGAAGCAAACACCCAGATCCTGTTCTGTCTCCAGGTCTGTGGTTAAACATTGCCTCCTGGAGCCAGGTGCTGCCCTTGTGAGTTGGGCGGCTTTGCTGTAGCTGCTCGCCAGCATTCGCACCTCTCTTTTTTCCTGGCACTTGCTCAGCGCTGTTACAGTCCCCGCTTCCATCTCTGTCTCCTACCCACCGCCCACCCCAGGGACCCAAAGGCCAGGCCTTCCTTGGTCACTGCTTGTTCCTTGGCCTAAGCGCAGAGCTTGGCACAAAGCAAGTGCTAGACAAATACCTGAATAAGTGGCTGAGGTCAGGAAGGAAGGAATGGAAGAAAAAAGAAATGAGAGAGAACTTTTCAGGAAGTTACTACCAACAGAGACAAATGCAGTATATAGACCACATCATGGTTTCTGATAATAATGAGGAAGCTCAGGTCATCGTGGCAGTCTGGAGAACTATCCGTCCTTTGTGCTGGGGTGTTTTTATTAGGCTGTTTGCCTATGTTTTGACACACAGGCAGAGTGTGGTTCCTAAGGAAAAGTATACCTTGCCAACGGAGCATGTGCTGGTGCATGGGCAGTGCAGCACACAGCTTGGAGTGCTTAAGCTGGGCCATGGCCAGCACTGGGGAGGGGGAGAGCGGGGATGGTCCTAGAGAGGAAGGTAGGTTTGGGATGCCCTGACAAGTAGCCTGGCCTGGCCACAGCATATGAGCAAAATCCCAGACCTGGCTTTGCTTCCGTCTGTGACTCAGGATAGCTTGGGGCTGAGGCAGATTAATTACCCTAGAATTTCCTTTTTTTTTTTTTTAATTTATTTATTTATTTATTTTGACAGGCAGAGTGGACAGTGAAAGAGACAGAGAGAAAGGTCTTCCTTTGCCGTTGGTTCACCCTCCAATGGCCGCCGCGGCCGGCGCGCTGCGGCTGGCGCACCACGCTGATCCGATGGCAGGAGCCAGGAGCCAGGTGCTTTTCCTGGTCTCCCATGGGGTGCAGGGCCCAAGCACCTGGGCCATCCTCCACTGCACTCCCTGGCCACAGCAGAGAGCTGGCCTGGAAGAGGGGCAACCGGGACAGAATCCGGCGCCCCAACCGGGACTAGAACCCGGTGACCGGGACTAGAACCCGGTGTGCCGGCGCCGCTAGGCGGAGGATTAGCCTAGTGAGCCGCGGCGCTGGCATTACCCTAGAATTTCTAGGGATCCCATCCCCTTGGCCTGCTCTGATCAGCTGAACCTACAGGGGTCGCTCTAAATTCAGCCCATCTCAGCTGGACTATTGAGGGGGTAGTAAGTGTAGTGAAAGGGAGGAAACATGAACTTTTGCAGCCTGGAGTCTAGGTCCCCGTTTCACTTGTTTCTTAGTAGTTGTAAGACCTTGACCCTTCACCTTTGAACCAGTTTCCTTATCTGTAAATGTGATCCTAAGAGTTCAAGCATTAAATGTGAAAAATGGAGGGCTGGTGTTGTAGTGACAGGTTAAACTGCTGGCTGCGATACCAGCATCTCATGTGGGTACCAGTTTGAGTCCCAGCTGCTCCACTTCTGCTCCAGCTCCCTGCTAGTGCATCTGGGAAAGCAGCAGAAGATAGCCCAAGTGCTTGGGCTAGCCCACGTGGAAGACCGGGATGAAGCTCCTAGCTTCTGCCTGGCCCATCCCCAGCCATTTTAGCCATTTTGGGGGTGAACCAGCAGATGGAAGTTTCATTCTCTCTCTCTTTCTCTCCCCCACCTCCCTCCCTCCCTCTGTAACTCTGTCTTTCAAATAAATAAAATAAATCTTACAAAAAGTGATTTATAAACTGCTCTATGCACATGTAAGGATCCAGACCTAGCATTTCTAAAATGCTATAAGGGGTTAAAAGGCACCTTAAACACACACACAAAGTATAAACTGTTACCCTGATTTATTACTCTTGGTCTTCATTTCCTGGTTGGTAAAGTACAGGGCCCAGTACCCGTTGCTTAGTTCAGGCCAGTTTCCTGTTATAATGGCAAATATTACCACCCGGCAGGGGTTGTGAATGAGGTCCCTGTCACAAAGCACATGGCCTTGTTCCTTAATTGCCAGGGTGGAATTAATTTGCTCTTCCTGTTTCTCTTGTGACAGGAAGTAGATGTCCTTGAATTTCACTTGATTAATGGAGGCCTCTGAGCAGAGTGCTCCAGCCTCTCTTGCTTTTAATCCTTATGCAATGCAAGGACCTAATTTGATAATTTTGCTGTTTTTTAGATGGATCACCTACTGGTTGAAAATATTGAGCGGGAAACGTTTCATCTCTGCTCCCGCCTCATTAATGGGCCATACCGGCGGACGGTGAGAGCTCTGGTCTTCACATTAAAGCACCAAGCTGAAATCCGGGCTCAGGTGAAGAGCGGCTCGCTGCCGGTCGGCACGTTTGTACAGACCCACAAAAAGTGACCCGGGGACGGTCCCAACCCTGGGCCAGGCAGAGAGGAAATGGGCCTCTCTCTGCCATTCAAAGACTCTTTTGAGTTTGGGTGATGGCTGGTGAGGGCTGTGCTAAATTTTCCCATGGTGCCATTCCTTCAGAGGGAGGAAGCAGAGAGCCCTGGGAGACAGGCCTGCAGGAACATGCTTCATTAGCTGTAGCATGCTGCCGCTGCCTAACAGGACGCACACTGGCTGTCACTGGGAAGCGCCGTACGGTTGCCGTCACCCAACACGGTGAAAGGGTGATGGATTTCACTGTGAGTACGCCAAGGACACCTCTAAACTTCCCCATGTCAGGCAGATGAAGTTACTGCTTTATTTCCCCACCCTGCAGGTAACTGAAACTCAATTACTGCTGCTGCTCACTCGGTTCCATCCCCCTGAGTTTAGATAGCTCTGGTGCCTCTCAGAACTCCCCTTCGCTTCTCTTTGCTCTACCCCAGGGGTGAGCCTGCCAGAGCCAGCACACTACCCTTCTTTCCAGAGCTCACTTATCTGAACGTTTCAGCTCTCCCTGGAAGACCTTCCGCGTTGGTCTTGGAGCCCCCATGCTGTGGCTTCTAATGAGGAGCTGGCCTCCAGCTCCCCCCACCTCGGGGTTGATTTGAATACGGCGGCCGCTCTTGGTCTGGGGCTCAGTGGAAGATACATAATGAAATTTCTCTTGAAATGAATTATTGCAGTCGAAAAAACTACATCCATCCATAATTTAAAATGAAGTACCTCTATATGGGCCTGTTTGAACAATTATGTAAATGATACTTGGTTTTTAAAAATAATAAACTGGGTTTTTTTTCCTAAAACAAAAGGAGTGGTTTGTGCATTTAAAAGTATTTTGAGTTGAGAAAGGGTTAAGTTAGTGAAATTGAAGAGTGATGGGACAGAAGTGTGAGGGAGGTAATAACCCAGGGAGGGATTTTAGATTAGAGGAGACCAAAGCAAATCTGTAATCTAAAAAGAAGCCAGTGGAGAGGGGGAGATTTAAAATCCCCCAAAAGAAGAAAGGGTTGAGAAGCAAGAATAGATGAGAAAGGGCTAACATTATTGTCTTAGCTTTCCCAGTGCTAGGTACTTTTCCTAAGATGATTTGCTAACATTTACGTGGATCTTTTTATATTGCTTAAAGTCCTGTTTCATTCTCTCACCTGCTCCGTGAAGGCAGCACTGTTTCAGCTTTTTAGATGCACTCATTTGTTCAGCAGCCGTTTGCTGAGTACCCATTTCATGGTGCACAGGGGCTGCTGAGCAGGAGCTCCACGCCAGCCCCTGAGGCTCCCCCAGCAGAGGCATCTTGCTCAGCTTCCCGCTAGAATAATAGAGTGGGTACCATGTGCCAGCACTGTGGTAACCTTTATACCCAATTAGGGATGAGAAAAGGGCGGCTCAGAAATGTATGGTGACTTACTCAGGACTCAGATAGTGCGCTACAGCTCTGAGATTCAGAACCCAGGTCTCTGACTGTAGACAGTCTCCTTGGTTGATTTAATCCATCCTTACAGTTTCTTTTTTAAAAATTTATTTTTACTTATTTGAAAGGCAGAATGACAGAGATCTTCTGTCTACTGATTTCACTCCTCAGTTGCCTTTAACAGCTGGGGCTCAGACAGGCCAAAGTGAGGAGCCCACAACTCCATCTGGGTCTCCCATGTGGGTGGCAGGGACCCAAGTACTTGGGCTCTTACCTACTGCCTTCCAAGGTGTGCATTAGCAGGAAGCCAGATTGGAAGCAGAGTAGGGACTTAAACCCAAACACTCTAATATGGCATGCAGGTGTCTTAACTGCTGAACCAAACACCTGCCCCCAGCTCATATCATATGGTGATACTCTAGTTTGTATCTTTAGCCCAGACCTTTAGCCCTAGTTTCAGATGCTATCTCCTGGATGTCGCAGGGACATCTAAGATGTAACATGTCTTCTCTCAGTCTTCAGGTAGGAACCCCAGGGAGCTCAGCAGAAACCCACATCTACTCACAGCTAGCCATGTCCTAAACATTTTATTCCCCAAATACATTGGGATCTCCTGCCTCTTCATCTGTGCTATCACATCAGGACTTGCCCAGAAGACTACTTTACCTCCTAACTGCTCTCTCTACCCCAGTCTTGCCCTCTTCACAGTTGCCTCTCCACACGATAAACAAACTGACATGGCAAAATTAGAGACCCCAGGCTGGTGGTGTGGTGAGCAGATTAAGCTGCTGCTTGTGACACCAGTTGCCCATGCTAGAGTGTGGGTTTGAGTTCCAGCAGCTCCACTTCTGATCCCGTTGCCTGCTAATGTGCCTGGGAAAGCAGAGGAAGATGGTCCAAGTCCTTGGGCCCCTACCACCCATGTGGGAGATCTGGAGTTCCAGACTCCTGGCTTCAGCCTGGGCCAGACCCTGACCGTTGCAGCCATCTGGGGAGTGAAACCAGCAGATGGAAGATCTTTCTCTCTCTTTGCTTCCCTCTCTATCTCATCCTGCCTTTCAAATAAATAAATAAATATTTAAAGTGAAAACATACAAATACAAAATTAGTGATCCATCACTTCTCCACTGAAACCCATCCGTGGATCCCTATCACATGTAGGGTAAAATATAAGCACCTTAACCTTGGTGTACAGGGCTGTCTATGATCTAGGCTAATTTTACTAAGAATTAATATAAAGGTCTCCTCCCTCGCCATTCTCACCTCTTTCCAAGCTCTGTCCCCAACTTGACCCTCTGTCTTCACGAGGCTGCTTGCAGTTTCTGACTGCATCAGATTTCTTGAAGCATCTGAGCGTTGTCATGTGTTTCTGCTTCCCTAATTCCTTTTCTGGCCCCTGCTGTAAAAGCCTTGTGTTCTGCTGTACCTGTGTTCCTTGCTTATGCTTAGGACCCTGTCTCCCACTAGACTAACTTCCTTGAAGTCAGAAAGCCTGTTTTACTGGGTATCTTAGGCACTTGGAACGTATTTGTCCATAGAGTAGCCCACAGATACATGTGGAATTTACTGACGTCCAGATGTCTGTGCTCTTCTTTGTTCCCCACTTAGTCTGTTATCCACAGAGTAACCAGAATGAACCTTTAAAAATGTAAGACAATCATGTCTTCCTTGCTTATAACCTCCCAGAGGCTTCTATCTCATTTGGCATAAAATCCTGAGCTCTTACTGTCTCCTCCAGGACCCAGAGTGATGTAAGCCCTGGCTGCCTCTTTGATCTCATTTTCTGACATATTCGTTCATTCTCTCTCTCTCTTTCAGATTTATTTATTTATTTGAAAGAGTTACAGAGAAAGGGAGAGACAGAGAGAGAGAGAGAGATCTTCCATTGCTGGTTCACCCCCAAGTGGTCACAATGACCAGGGCTGAGCCAGACCAAGGTCAGGAGCTTCATCTGGGTCTCCCAACATGGATGGCAGGGACTCAAGCACTTGGGCCATCCCCTACTGCCCTCCTGGGTCATCAGCAAGGAGCTGGACCAGAAGTGGAGCAGCCGGGACATGAACTGGCGCCCATATGGGTTGCTAGCATTGTAGGCAGCAGCTTTACCAGCTACACAACAGCTTCCCTGCTCTCTCCCTACCTCACTCCCCTGTGGTCCCCTGGTTCCCTTGCTGTTTTACATGTGCATCCTAAGCATGCTCCTTCCTCGGGGCCTTTGAACTTACTGTTGTGATTTCAGTGCTCATTTCCCAGATGTCTAATTTGCATGATCCTCCCCTCACGAGATTCAGGGTTTTGATTTCTCTTATCAGAACAGCCTCACTAATTACCCTAACTAAAATTACCCTCTCGACTACCCTTTAATACTCCACCTTGCTTTATTTTTCTTCAGAATGTTTAGTACACTTTGACACACAGAAATGGAGACACAGAGAAAGATTTTCCATCTGCTGGTTCATTCACCAGATGGCTACAAGAGCCAGCACTGGGCCAGGCTAAAGCCAGGAGCCAGGAGCTTCATCGGGTTCTCCTATGTGGGTGGCAGGGGCCCAAACATTTGGACCACCTTCTGCTGCTTTTCCCAGACATTAGCAGGGAGCTGGAACTGGATCAGAAGTGGAGTAGCTGGGACACAAACCAGTGCCCATGTGGGATGCCAGCATCATAGGCGTCAGCTGTACCTGCTACACCACAACGCCAGCCTCACATTTATATTTTGTGTATCCCTCCACTTTAACAATTGGAGCTTGATGAAAGCAGAATCTTTGGTTCCCTGCCATAGTCCAGTACCTGGAATACAGCTTGATACATTCTAGGTCTCCTTAACTATTGATTGAATAGTTGAATGACTGGTTATGTGGTTGTAAGACAAAGCCATGTAATCTAGTCAGGGAATGTTTCCTGGAGTAGGTGACACCTGTGTGCTGTCCTAAGGGCAGTAGTAGTTCATGGGAGGGTGTAAGTGGACGCCTGGCAGGGAGAGCAGGGTCTGCAAAGACTCAGATGGAGATAACTGGAAGCTGATCAATGTGGCAGTAGAGGAGGAACACACAGGAGTGGGGCTGGAGCTGAGGCAGGAGAGAAAGGCCAGGCCTAGGCCCAGGACCAGATTGGAAGGGACTTGAGAATTGGGTAAAGACATTGGGGCTGACTCCAAGCAGAAACTGGTCAGGTTTGTGTTAACAGGCTTTGTGAAGAGAAGCTGGGGCAGGAAGAGAGACTGGACATAGGAAGCCTCATAATCAATCAAAGAGTTTGCTAACTTAGGAATCCAGAGTAAGTTGAAAACAAAGCGCTCTCTGGCTGAAAGTCTTCAGTGGTGATGGTTAGAAAGTAGAGTGATTGCAGAGATGTGCTTTGGAGATTTGGAAAGCAGGCCGTGTTGTTTATGGCTGTTTTCTTCTTGATGCGTCTACAGAATTCCCATGATCACTAATGGAGCTATTCTGAACACTTGCCGAAGGGGAGGAGCCTTGCAGACATCCTTGCCCACCCAATAAGAAGCGCCTTGGGGCCCTAGCCTGTTAAAAATGAAAGAGATGTGCCTGAAATGGGCAGAGAGGTATTCTGGGGCCTCTGAGTTACCTGTAAATCTAGGCGTGAACCCATGTTTTCCAAGTGTGCTCAGTTTCTGGAGGAAGTTTGGGAAAGTAAACACCATCAGAGTTGGCATGGGCAGTTCACTGATGCTTTTCTTGCAAGTGGTTAAATTGGAGCTCCTTGTCTTTTGGTAGAGACTGAGTCTATCTTTGTTCATACACTCAACAAATAGGTGTTGTTCATCTTGTGTGTTAAGGACTGGCAGTGGGGAAACACCAGTGAAATTTGATTTTCATGCTTGAGGACCTGTTTGGTGGGGAGACAGGCGCACCAGTCAATAATTAGGGCATAGCATATTGGGTGTTCTATAGACGTTTATTTAAAATACTGAGAAAATGCAGAAAGGAGTGACCAACACTGCCCTGAGAGGAGGAAAGTACTTATGTAGGAGATCATGTTTGAAACAAGGCGTAAGGGGCCGGGAGCAGTCTGTGTACAAAAGCAGAGTGAAGATCATGGCTAGTTTCAGTAAAGGCAAATAGCACAAGGAAACTGAAGAATAGATTCTTCCGAGTGGTGGTGAGAAATGGAGCAGAGCAGTCACCAGGGCCTGGAGGGCTTCATCAAGGAGTTTGGCCTCGACCTCCAGAGGATGGCAGTCTGTGAAAGTATTTGAGGAGGCCAGGGCCTAACAAGATGTGTGTTTCGGGGCCAGCACTGTGGGGTAGTGGATAAAGCCACCGCCTGCAGTGCCGACATCCCTTTGGGCGCTGGTTCAAGTCCCGGCTGCTCTACATCCGATCCAGCTCTCTGCTATGGCCTGGGAAAGCAATGGAAGATGGCCCAAGTCCTTGGGCCCCTGCACCTGTGTGGGAGGGGCTTCTTGCTCCTGGCTCCTGGCTTCGGATCAGCACGGTGTCAGCCATTGCAGTCATCTGGGGAGTGAACCAGTGGATGGAAGACCTCTCTCTTTCTCTCTGCCTCTTCCTCTCTCTAACTCTTTCAAATAAATAAATAAATCTTTAAAAAAATTAAAGACGTGTGTTTCAGAAGCATGAGAATGTTCTTGTACAGATACCTAAAAAAGTTTGAAACATTAAAAAAAAAAATTTAAAGGAAAGCAAAGAAACACTTGAGAGTCAGTAAATTAAAGTGTGTGGGTTTGTGGTTTTTTTTTTTCTTCTTCTTCTTTTTTTGACAAATGAAGTTTAGAGTTGCCCGAACAGGTATCATTAAAGAGTTCCAGATTTGAAAAATGGCAGGAGGCCCAGATAATGCATTTACTGTGTTTATTGGTGAAGGAACAGGCAGCTGGCCTTTTTTCATTTATAGAATATAATGTTCTTAAACTTGTGCCTGTCAACCTTGGTTTGCTTTTGCTGCTGCCTCAGGCCCCAGGGCCTCACTATGAGATTTGTAATGTGTTTTGGATGCGTTTATCACAGCTCGATGGGGCGAGGGCTCAGTTTGTTACTGCCCAGTCTTGCCGTCAAAGGGAGTCCATCCAGAAAACAAGGATTTGGGAGCTTCGATTAGTTTAAGTAACACTGCCATGATTTCAAAGGAAAGACCATTTGATCGAATGACATTGTGTTTTCTTTTAAATCAACCAAAATGACATGATGCTGTCAGGGATAGACTCACCCGTAAGCAGAGGAGACCAGTTTCAAGAGCCAAGAAGACTGTGGTACCCATTCAAGTGCTGTTTTTCCGTCTTGTGAAAGTCACTCATTCAGTGTGCATGTTCCGAGTTCCTACGTGCCAAGTACAAGGGTCACAGGGATAAGTAAGGCCGTCTCTGGCCTCAGGGAGCTTCCAGTCTAGTGAAGGAGACAGACAATAAGCATTATGACTAACAGGAATTCAAAGGAAAGGAAATCAGAAAGCCAGTAAACATTAAAAGATGTTCAGCCTTGCTGGTTATCGGGAAAATGGCAAAGGATTCATGCCATCCTTCAAGACCTAAAGGATTCGGGGGCAAGGGGGTCCTGTAGCCCTCTTTTTTTAAGATTTATTTATTTATTTGAAAGAGTTACAGAGAGAGGAGAGGCAGAGAGAGTGAGGTCTTCCATCTGATGGTTCAGTCCCCAAATAACCACAATGGCTGGAGCTGCGCCGATCCAAAGCCAGGAGCCAGGAGCTTTTCTGGGTCTCCCACAGGGTGCAGGGGCCCAAGGACTTGGGCCATCTTCTACTGCTTTCCTAGGCCATAGCAGAGAGCTGGATTGGAAGTGGAGGAGCCAGGTCTCAAACCGGCACCCATATAGGATGCCGGTGCTTCAAGCCAGGGCGCTAACCTGCTGCGCCACAGTGCCGGCCCCTCATAGGCCTCTTTTTCAGTCATTGGTCTGCTCCCCACAGAAACTAGTAGGATCCTGAAAGGGGATTACAGCAGAATCCACCGAGCAGTAGTTCCTGTGGCAGCTGTGCCAATGCGGCATCTTTCTCGAGTGTGTCAGCATGTTCTCAGGTACGTGTATGTTGCTATTGATGTGAATGAATTCCTTTCCCTTCCCTGCCAGAAAGGAAAGTCAGAAATCGTTCGCATTTGCTTGCAACAGGCCGAGTACATTCCCCGTGCTGCCTAGGGCTGGCTCCCTTGCCCTCTCACAATATGGTGTGAAGAGATCTGTGCTGCCTAGGCATTGTGCAGAACGTCTCACTGCTGCAGCGTACTCTGGGCCAAAGGAGCGAGAAACAGCAAGTATCTTAGAAGCCTGAATGAGACACGTGCTTTCCTGAGAGGGTGAGGAAACCCCGTGAAAATTCAGGGGCCTGATAGACCAGTAACATTTTTTAGGGGCCAGTGGACTCAGATATGCGAGGGACATTCTCTCCAAAGTAAAAGACAAATGAGAACCAGCAGGTGGGAAATCTGTTTGTTAAATAAATAAGTGAGTCTTGGGACGTGTGTTGTGGTGCAGTAGGTTAAGCTGCAGCCTGCAGCACCAGCATCCCACGTGAGCACTGGTTTGAGTCCTCACTGCTCTGCTTCCTCTCCAGCTCCGTGCTAACACACCTGGGAAGATCAAGATGGAGTTCCTTTCTCTTGGCTTCAGCCTAGCCCAGCCCTGGCCGTTGCTATTTGGGGAGTGAACCAGCAGATGGAAGATTTCTCTTGCTCTTTCTTTCTCTCTAACTCTGCCTTTCAAATAAGTAAGTAAGTAAATAAATAAATAAATAAATAAATAAATCTTAAGGAAAAAAAAAGACAAATGATTCCGTACCCCACTCCCACCATTAGGAAAACACACATGAGTGCAGGGGCCTGAGGACTTGGGCCATCTTCTACTGCTTTCCCAGGCCAAAGCAGAGAGCTGGATCAGAACTGGAGCAGTTGGGACTCGAACCGGTGCCCATATGGGATGCTGGCACTGCAGGCATCGGCTTTACCCGCTACGCCACAGTGCTAGCCCCTTTGATTACTTTTTAATGCTGTGTATTTGATAGGATTTCATTACAAGGAAGCTGATAATATAATCATTTACCTTATTATTATTATTATTATTATTGTTATTTTGACAGGCAGAGTGGACAGTGAGAGAGAGAGACAGAGAGAAAGGTCTTCCTTTGCCGTTGGTTCACCCTCCAATGGCCGCCACGGCCGGCGCACCACGCCTATCCAAAGGCAGGAGCCAGGTGCTTCCCCTGGTCTCCCATGGGGTGCAGGGCCCAAGTACTTGGGCCATCCTCTACTGCACTCCCGGGCCACAGCAGAGAGCTGGACTGGAAGAGGGGCAACCGGGACAGAATCCTGTGCCCCGACCGGGACTAGAACCCGGTGTGCCAGCGGAGGATTAGCCTACTGAGCCGCGGCGCCAGCTTACCACATTATTTTTCATCATTCTGTCTTAGAAATCTTTTAAAAGTTTGCTTTTATTCAAGAGATTACCAAACTACATAGTGTTTGAGATGCCACAGGTGTTTCCCCTGAATTTATGTTTGTGCTGTCCATGAGGGATGCTGTGTTGACAGTCTTCTTTGGAACCTTACTTCTGTGACTGTCAGTAGTTTTCGTAGTCCAGACCTTGGGGTGGGTTCCTGCCTTTGCCTTTGAGCTCATTAGCTTATTGGCACTCAAACCTCAAAAAGTTTGACCATGTGTGAGCTCCTGCTTGGGAAGGGACCTGTGTACCTTGATATTCTGAGAGTGTGGACGTCATAGAGCCATTAACTTAACCTCTTGGGAAGCAATCTTGACCTTGAGGGGTCAAGACAGTGGTTCCCGGTCAGGGCGCAGGAGTCTGTCCCGGTTACCCCTCTTCCAGGCCAGCTCTCTGCTGTGGCCAGGGAGTGCAGTGGAGGATGGCCCAGGTGCTTGGGCCCTGCACCCCATGGGAGACCAGGATAAGTACCTGGCTCCTGCCTTCGGATCAGCGCGGTGTGCTGGCCGCAGCGCGCGGCGGCCATTGGAGGGTGAACCAACAGTAAAGGAAGACCTTTCCCACTATCTCTCTCTCTCTCTCACTGTCCACTCTGCCTGTCAAAAAAAAAAAAAAAAAATGAACTACATGGTCTGCTGATGGTAATAGGCTTCATGCTTTTGATTTGTTTCATATGCTACTGTTTACTTTTTTTATGTGTATACAAAGCAGACATGTACAAAGATTTTAATTACAACATGGTTGATAATAGTAAAACTTCAGAAACAGTCTAAATGTACATTAGAAAAAAAGAATGAATAAAGAAATTGTAATGTATCCAGATTCTGGAATACTGTGTAGCAAAAAAAAAAGTAAATTTAGGCTGTGTAACAGCATTGGCCAATAGAAATATAATCCACATCACATATGTAATTTTAAACTTAAGAGCCACATTAAAAGTAAAAAGAGGAGCTGGCAGTGTGGTGCAGTGAGTAAAGACACCACTTGCAGTGCCGGCATCCCATGTGAACACTGGTTTGAGACCCAGCTGCTCCACTTCCAATCCAGCTCTCTGCTATTGCCTGGGAAAGTAGTAGAAGATAACCCAAGTCCTTGAACCCCTGCACCTGCGTGGGAGACCCAGAAGAAGCTCCAGGCTCCTAGCTTTGGATTGGCCCAGCTCTAGCCATGGTGGCCATTTGGGGAGTGAACCAGTGAATGGAAGACTTTTTTTTTCTTTCTCTCTCTCTCCCTCTCCCTCTCCCTCTCCCTCTCTGTAACTCTACCTTTCAAATAAATAAATCTTAAAAAAAGTAAAAAGAAACATAAATGAATTTTTAATAATATATTTTGAGCCAAATATACTGAAAAGTGTTACCATGTCAACATGTAATCAATATGAAAATTACTGAGATATTTAATATAGTTTAATGTTTATTCATTTAAAAATTTACTTGAAAGGCAAAGTAGCAGAGATGGAGATCTCCCATTGCTGGTTGGATATGCCCTCCGCAGCCAGGGCTGGACCACCCCAAAGCCGAGCTCTCCATGCAGGTCTCCTGTGTGGGTGGCAGGGACCCAAGTACTTGAGCTCTCACCTGCTGCCTTCCAGGTGCATTAGCAGGAAGCTGGATCAGCAGCAGAGGTGAGACTTGATCACAGGCAGACAGTGTGGGATGCAGACATCTCAAACAGGGGCGTAACCTACAGTGCTGCAACACTCCCCTCTATATTCTTTAGGGGAAAAGTACTTGTCTCTGTGTTTATTTTATAATACATCTTAGTTTGACCTGTCTGTATTTTCAAGTGCTTATAGCCACACGTGTGGCTACTATATTCGATAGTGGAGATCTGTAGGTACTGACGTGGAAACATACTTTTAAATGAAAAAGAAAAGGAAGTTGCAGTACCATATGTATAATATGAACCATTTATGCAAGGAAAATGCTGTTTCCATAGTGGGGAAAAAGGAAAAGATATGTACAGATATATGTCCAATTTAGAGAGAGGTTTTAGAAGAGAAAGGTGTTATTGGTTTGTTGTGTTTTTTTGTTTGTTTGTTTGTTTGTTTTTGGTGGGGGGAGAGTCATTCTCTCCTTATCTAAACGTTTTGTGATAACTTTTGACTTACAAAAGGTGGGGTTCCTGTATACTCCACATCTGGTATCCACTATTATTCACTATTATTAACATCACACCTTAAAGTGGCCATTTGTCAAAATTAAAACCCCACCCTTGATGTATTCCTGTTAGCCAGCTTTCAGCAGTGTTCCCACTAATGCCCTGTTCCTGTTCCAGGACTCGGCTGGCCTTGGCCGTCACGTCTCTCTGATCTCCTGCTCCATGACCATGTCTCACTCTTTCTTCCCATGGCCACAAGTACTTGGTAGACGGGCCCTAAACTTGAGCTTGAGGATTTCCCTCTGACTAAATTGGGATTATGGGTTCTAGGGAAGAATACAGTGGAGGTAAGGCACCCTTCTCCTCACGTCATACTGGGTATGTGGGCACACAGTAACCACCTGACCTAATCACCGGCAATGCTTGGTCAAGGTGGTGCTTACAGGCACGTTTCCATGGTGAGTTACAGTCCACGCTCGGTGCTTGATTCCTTGGAAGGAAGTCTAAATCCAGACTGCACAAGGGCTGGGCGGGCTGGGGCCCACCACGGCTCCCCTCCTGCAGGGTAGAGCTGGGACCTCCTTCAGCTATTTGGAACCGTCTGTCCGGAGGATTTGCCCTCTCTCCCTCACTTAGTTAGATAATTTATGTCCATGTGAACTCATTGCTGCGTTTTATACACTGCGATCTGATTCTTGTCTTCACGGGGAAGACAATTCATGTACTGCTTATTTTTTAATCGGGAAAATATACAGATAACAGTGGCAGGTGAGAAACAGGTCCTGACAGGTCCTGTGATTGGCAAGATTTCTGCCTCTGTACCTCTCTGTGGCTGTCTGTGAGTAGGGTAGCAGTCGGCTTCCTGCTCTTAGACGCGCGGCCTTTGAGGAGCTGCTTCCCCTCTCCCCATGTGAGTTCCCCCTTCAAGTAAGGGGATGTTTCTTGAAATGGCCTCAGAGGTGGAGAAGGGGGTGAATGTTTGTTGTTTATGAGAGTCCAGGTATTTTGTTGCCTATTCTTAGACCTTCAGTCCTTAATGGTTATCTTCTTTTATTTATGTTGGAAAATGAGCTCGGAGCTAATAGCCGTTGAGAACATCTCATAAACATGATCAATATTTATATCCCCTATCCCAGCCCCAAAGAGTTCTCCTTCCCTGCGCTCTCGCCCCTCTAAGTGGGAGTTAGTTTTCCTCTTCCTCAGCTTGATCTTCATGGCTGAAATCTAGCCTGAGGCCTGGCGCTCAAGAGCTCGCCAGCCAAGTACCTGCCGGCTTGTTTGGCCTCCCCCTTGTGCCTCTCGCCCACTGATGCCACAGACACTGCTGCCCTTCACAGCCTGTTGTGAGCTGAATTGGGCCCTCCCCCAAATTCACATATTGAAGTCCTAACCCCCAGTACCAGGGCATGAGGCCCTGTTTGGAGGTAGTGTGTTATTTTTATTTTTAAAGATTTACTTTTATTTATTTGAAAGTCAGAGTTACACAGAGAAGGAGAGGCAGAGAGAGATTGCCCGCAATGGCCGGAGCTGTTCTGATCTGAAGCCAGGAGCCAGGAGCTTCTTCTGGGTCTCCCACATGGGTGCAGAGACCCAAGGACTTGGGCCATCTTTTACTGCTTTCCCAGGCTGTAGCAGAGAGCTGGATCAGAAGTGGAGCAGCTTGGTCTCAAACTGGCGCCCATATGGGATGCCGGCGTTTCAGGCCAGGGCATTAACCCTCTGCGCCACAGCGCTGGCCCCTGGAGATAGCTTCTTGACAGAGGTTCTGTCGGTAGACCCGAATCCTGTGTGGCTGGCAGCCTGGTCGCAGGAGGCGAAGACACAAACACGGCGGGAACGCAGCCGGCCACAAGCCAGAGAGAGAGGTCTGGGGAGAAGCCAAAGCTGCCAACATCCTGATCTCCAAAGCTGTGAGGAAGTAAATTTCTTGGCCTAAGGCACTCAGTCTGTGCTCCTGTGTTATGGCAACTCTCATAGAAACCAGTACCCACTCCCGCAAGTGGCAGTGCTG